GGTTATCTGAAGTTGCAGTAATGAAAAATTATCTATATCTTGTGATTGGCCAAAAAGGAAAGCAAAGCTTCTCTCTTTGATGTTTTATTTGCTTCCCTCTTTGATGTTTTGTAGCTATGATGTTTTTATCCAATTGTTCATTACCAATTCTTTATTGTTGTGAGACTTGCATATTCTTTCTTATACATGGTAACAATATATTCTAACATTTCTGTCTTGAACTTTTAGGAGATATTGCTTCAACAAATGAAAATGGACCTTGTTGACCAACCCTTAAGGTTTTGATTGGAATGTTGGAGGGAAAGTAGATAATGAGCATTAACGGTTAGTGCATGCTTTTTAATCATGACAAATTTATAATCAAATATTAGCATTTTAAGCTTTTTTCCATGTAAATCTTTTACTAATCTCTTGTTTACACTTGACTATTTTGTTTTATTTTATTTTTTCTTAGTCCATTTTTATGGTTTTGCAGGAATTAAGGATTGCGTGAAAGTCATGGAGCCTGTTGATGTAAGGATTATGAAATTGGTGTTGACATCCATGGGATCAGGATGGTCCTCCTCAACTTGAAAGATTGAAAATCTTAAATAAGGTCATTTCATATCTAGAATTTTAGTAAAAGATTTAAAAATTATAGACTATTGAACTAAATTTGACATTTGATTTATGATGTGTAAACTCATGAGGAAATCCCATAATAATTACAAATGATAGTATATAAATTTTTAGGTATCCTTTTAAAAGTGTAGAGAATTTAAATATTTTTTTTTTTTGTCACATAAAAAAGTTCATTAAAGCATAATAATTCATGCCTCAGTATAAATTATAAATGTATATATTATATATGACCTAATATTTTATGAAAAAGTTGAGGAAGATCAAAAGAACATGTTTTTAATCCGATTAATTATACTATTTGATTGTTCAGATTCTTCAACTCTTTTATATATGTATATATTTAAACCATAATTTTTATATTAAAATGATATTAAAAGTATTTAAATCAAATTAATTATACTTTTTATAAAAAAAGGAAAAAAATATATAACATTCCCACTATTTAAAAGCAAACGTGTTCCTTCCCAAAAATTTCCTCCCAAAAAATTCTAGAGCCTAATTCACATTATTCCAAAAGGAAAAAAAAAAATTATAAAAGGAAAAAAAAAAATCGTACCAACTTTGTTTAAAAAAAAAATTGCACAGCAAACGGAAAAAGAAAATGTAAAAGGGAAAAGGAAAAAATGTACCATTTTTTGTTTTTAAAACACATGTCTACCCAACTTCAGACATTTTCTCTATTTCCAAATATTTTTTCTTACTTTAAATTTAGAAATTTTATTAACGTATATATCAACTATATATAATGGTTTATAATGCCTGCAGAAAGGTTAAAACAAAAAAAGTACATTAAAGCATAATGAATCATGCCTCATTCATTAATAGTATAGCTTATAAATGTATACAATATAGATGACCAAATATTTTATGAAAAAAGTTGAGGAAGACCAGAAAAACATGTTTTTAATTCGATTAAAAGTGAAATGGTACCCTTAGAATTTTCAACCTTAAATTTTATAAAAACTATATTATTTTTATTCTGATACTTGAAATCTCCAACCTAGTATTTCTTAACTCTTTTTTTTTTTTTTTCACTTTAAATTAAATCCAATTTTATTAAAAAGTATTAGTGGACATTAATTACTTGAATTTCATTTCATTTTTTTAATGGTTAACAACCTTTGGGATTTTCAACCTAAAAAAATGTCATTAAAAGTAGACTACAAAACATGTATAACCTCTTGAAATTTTTAACCTTAAATTTCATTAAAAGTTTATTATTTTTATGTTTAATGCAAAACTTTTGTAACTCTTGAAATTTCCAACCTAGTATTTGATGTCTCTTAAAATTTTAAACAATAACATAAAGGTCTGTTATATAAATAAAGGTCTACTATATAAATAAAGGTAGAAATTATAAGATCAAGCTCTAATATTAAGATAGCAGCAAGATTAGATGTCAACAAGAGCATTACAAGTAGGGATCACAGGAAGAAGAAGTATCAAGGAGTATTTTTCGTCAATTAGCTTTGGTGGTGAAGATGAGAATTCATGTGTAACAAACCAGGAGCATCAATTAGCTTGGTTAAGTTATTTGCATGTTTTGAATCATCTACTCAGTTTAACTCATAGTGAGGAATTCATATTAAATTGTTTTAATATTAGGCGTAGTGATGATCAAATGATTGTTAGGTTTCGTTCATCAAATTAACAATTATTGAGTTTTCTTGTACTTATGTTGAAATATTTATTTGAATATGAGTATTTTGTTGTATTCTTCATTTGGATTACATGTACCCCTTTTTTTTTTTTAATGAGGACTTAAGTTTGGTTGTTGATGTTATGCATAACCTTCAATTGTTTTGGTTTTCATTTGATTTACATTTGTTAATTCAATTTTTAAAACATTTTTGTTTAATCTTCTTTGGTCCTGTTCCTTGGAAAAATTTAGATAGTATTTGTATGTCAACTTGTTTTTGTGAATTTTGGATTGTGATTTTTTCTTTTCTTTCTCCATTGTATTTATTTTTTGAAAGTTCGTTCATCTCGAGAAATTTGAGTCCATGAAAAGGAAAGTCTTAACAAAAATATTATAGAAAGAAAGAAGTATCTTCTTTCTTGCAATGCAAAATGCTGGAATGTTTTTCCTTTTGTGCTTGATCCATGTGGATTACAAAATGCTATATATATATATATATAATTGATTAGAATCTATATTTTAGAATATATCTTAATATATATAATTTTGAATTTAAAACCAAGAAGCGAAATAAAATATCTTTTGGTTGGCATGATGATCTGTGAAAATATATGAGAATTGGTTTACTAAAATACTGAGAGATTTCTACCTAAAATGATTATAAATAGAAGTGTGATAAAACTAAAAAAATATTTAATCCGAGTAACCAAAAAACAAATTAAAAAATAGAAGCTCATTTGTGATATAAATAACATATGAAGATATATTTTCAAATTCCTTTCACATTGAAAAGTATCAAATCAAATAAAGCAGTTTATCAAAGTTTTCTTAAGACCAAATAAATTTTTTTTTTTTTTTAATTTATTACAATCTTATTAATAACTTGGATTTACACCACGTGCACGTGCTCTTTTGCTAGTATATATATATATAAGTCACATTGTATCATTTTGCTAATATAGTACGTGTATCATTAAATAAATGTTAATAAGTGGTGTGTAACCAATCATTTTTATTGTATAAATTATATATATTTATTTTAATAAGATATACTCCCTCCGTCTTAAAAAATATGTCTTATTTGGAGAACCGTAACGACATTTTTTTTGAAACCGAGGGAATAATTGATTGATGATTTTTTTTTTTGTCCTTTCTTAAATGCTAACATTTTCATTAAGGGTTCGTTTGGTTAGACGGAAAATTTAATGAAAAGTGAAAGTGAAAGAAAGGAAAATCAAGTTTCCATCGTGCATTTGGTTAGCAAGAATTTTTTTGAAGAAAATTGTGAGAAAATGTTATTTTGTTAATTTGGATAGCATGAAAAGGAAAATAAAATGATTCTACTTACCAAAAATATCCTTATAATTATAAATAGTAATAAAATAAATAAATTTGAGTTAGACTAATATTCTTTATACTTAATTATTTATTTTAGTAAGCAAATAGTGAAATATGAAATAAAATATTATGTGATATCATATGTAATTTTTCGTATTTTTTTTACAAGGACTAGAACCCTCGAATTTTTACACTTTAAAAGTTGAGTAAGTACTAATATAATTGACTAATTTAACTTGTGTATATGGAAAAATATTGATTATTATTAGTACGATGAAATTATGCCAACTCTGTTCTATTTTTAATAAAATCTTGAGTCATTGGATGCATCTCAATGAGTGGAACACGGTAGGACTCTAGCTAATATATACATATATGTATGTATTATTATTGTATGTTCATATATGTATGTATTATTATTGTATGTTGTCTTGAGATGACATGGTTTATGAGATAACCGTATTACCAACTGCGAAAAATTGAGCAATTGCAGACATCATCAAAAAATAATAATTTAATAATGGAAGGAAAAATTAAATTAATTTTACAGACACAAATAAAATTACAAACAATTAAATTAATAATAGACAAATTAAGTAATTTACAGAATAGGGAAATTTTTTCTATCTAGTTTAGACAACATATGGGCATAATAGAAAAAATAAGAAATAAAGTGTACAACTTTTGCAGAAAAGTTTCGTGTGTTTTAAGCTTGAAAAAATTCCAAAATTTTCACTTTCTATCTAACCAAATTATTAAAAAATTTAAAATTTTCTCTTTCTTTTCTTTTCCTGCTACTTCTTACTAACCAAATGAACCCAAGAGTTTGAGTCACCTCCCTAATGAAAATGTCTTATTAATCATCTCCTCAAACGTATTTATGTCATATCCTCACCATTTTATAATTTGATAAAGTGAAATAAAAATTACTGCATTTAGATTAAAACATGAAGAGGATCACTTTAAGACATGAAAACTACCACATTTAGATTAAAAATGAAGAGGATCATAACGTGACATAAACACTACTATACTTAGATCTGAGCATCGGGAGGATCATAGTCTTGTTATTTATATAAACATCACCGGCGCACGTTAGAAAGAGGCAAAATGTATGCAAAGCACATGGCAAGTAACTGACTGCCTCACTCTGCATTAATACACACTAATCATTGATTGCCAGTCAACTCATTGGGGTACGTAAACGTAATGAATGATGGTCAAAGCACCAATTCATTCCACTCATTTAACGGTCCAGATTGAAGGTCATAAGACAAACGGCAAGGATTGGATGGACTCCACCTTTCACCATTTATTTGTCTAGATCCGCTTAGAAGCTTGCGGACCAGCTGGTCTTGTCGCCGTAGAACCAAGCATACCCATGATCTCTCCTCCCATCTCACTTCAATACGCACAAACTTTCTCTATCTAAAAGACGAGGAGAGAGAAAGTGAGATTTGTTGTAAATTAACCCGCTTCTAACCATGATTAGCTGCTAAACCAAATCTTCAAAGTTAAATAATTTCGTTCTCCACAAAAATTGAGGGAAATGTTTTTTTTTTATTGCTCTCATAATATTTCTCGTTCTAGAGAGAGAACAGGGGAGAGAGGAAAAGAAACACTGGGGAGAGCGAAACGAACGGAGTGAGGTCTTGCTTTATTGACTGAAGGTTTGAATCTGATAGAATCAGAGCAGAACGAGAGCATTTTGTAGATGGAATTGGATAAGACTTCATTGGAAGATACTATTAGAGTGGAGATATGAGAGTGTATATATATATAAATGTAAATTTATGAGCAGAGAGTTTTTATGGTTTTGTTCTGCTAATTTTCAGTGAAAATGGCAGTGATAGTAGATTGATTGATATATATAATATATATAGTGATAATAGTGGATCGAAATATTAATGTATTCAAGATGGATCAGTACGAGATCATGGAACAGATTGGTCGTGGAGCATTTGGAGCTGCAATTCTCGTCAATCACAAATTGGAGAAGAAGAAGTACGCCCTTTCTCTCTGTATATAGATTATTTTTCTCTCTCTAAACTTGAGCTACTCTTAGTTCATCATATATTCTGTAATGTATATCATTTTCAAATTACAGGTATGTCTTAAAAAAGATTCGTCTTGCTCGGCAGACAGAACGTTGCAGGAGATCTGCTCATCAAGAGGTAGATCAATTTAGTTGGATCTTGATTTGCTTTTACACTTTGTCTTATACTTATTTTGATTTGTATTATAGAGAATATGTATATATTTTTATATACATTGTGGAAATTTTGAATTGCAGATGGCTCTAATTGCACGAATTCAACACCCCTATATTGTCGAATTTAAGGAAGCATGGGTGGAGAAGGTTCATTCTCACTTCTACTACAATTGCCAATTTATAAGTATTTAATTTGGCACCTTGTTCTATACCTGCCATTTTTATTCTGAATTATAGTCTATGTCACACTGTAGGGCTGTTATGTTTGCATTGTTACTGGATATTGTGAAGGAGGAGACATGTGAGTTTCTAAAAATTCTGAACTTGAATTTAAAATGATTTATGTTATTAATTATACTACACACACTCTCACATATATATTAGCATTGTTGGTCTATAATCTATAATCTTTGAACAGGGCGGAATTGATGAAAAGATCAAACGGGCAGTATTTTCCCGAGGAGGTATTATGTATAGAACTACTCCATTTTTTGCTTCTTTATTAAATTTTCGCTTGTTAATCTTAGATTTCAATGTTTTTGGATCAAATGAGATTGCTGACATTTGTGTGCATCACTCAGAAACTCTGCAAGTGGTTCGCTCAACTACTATTGGCAGTCGAATATCTGCATTCAAATTATGTTCTACATCGAGACCTAAAAGTACGAAAATAAGTATTGCTTAAGATGTCTGTTGTAAAGTTTTCCTATTATTATTTAGACTGACTTCTTTAGCAACTTCTTGGCAGTGTTCCAACATCTTTCTTACCAAAGATCAAGATATTCGTCTTGGTGAGTTTGTTATTTTTTATTTTTTATTTTTATTTTATCGGAAGTTAAAATGGATTTTTTCCACTGATCCAAGTTTCATTACTAACTTTTACTTATTTATCCTTCAACTCTTACTTGTATCTAGGGGATTTTGGACTTGCTAAAACTTTGAAGGCAAATGACTTGGCTTCTTCGGTATGTGCTCCACATATATATTTGCTATGTTCAATTTTTGGCAATTTTAAGGGATGAAAGATTCTATTTTGAAGGCATACAACTAAATACTATGAAACTATGACAATATGAGGATGTTGATCTCTTCATATTTGTACCTAGATCCAAAATATTGCTGTAGATAAATGCACTATTGTACATGTTTCATTGCCCATAATATGCAAATATCCTTGTCATTGAAGCTATATTAATGTTGGGAACATCTGTTTCATTAATTATTATGTGTTCTCAAACACTAATGTGGTATATATCGATACACAGTTTGAAGGTATTAAATAACAGGTGTTTATATCTTATGACGGTATGATAAGGCTGTTATCTTTGTCACAAAGTTTGGATGTCATATTGTTGCTGCAAATATTTATTTCTCCTAAGAGATAACTAATTATATCTTACCAAAACTGAAAAACGTTATGCACAAAAAACCTCCTTTTTTATTTTACTTATTTATTTTAATAAGGGAGGGTGTCTCGACCCCCCTTCAGGTATGGGACTACTCCCTTGAACACAAGACTTCTGGATCATGCCCATAAACTTAAGCCAACTCAGCTACTCTGTGGGGGTTCAAATTAATCCTTTCTGATAGTTAATTGGCTAATGTTCAGATGAGTGAAAGTAATATTAGAGGAAACTTCTTGGAAACATTTTCTAGAATGTTCAGCATAAGTGTCTTGATTGACCATTCCAGAAGCAGTCCTGTGGTAGTCTACATTTTTTGCTCATATTTCATAAGCCCCGATTTTCTGTAAACAAGTGCGAACTTTGTACTAGTATCACAGACCTATTAATGCAAATGGTCTTGCAAATTTTCCGAGGAACAAATGATCTTGTAATTTGGTTATGTTTTCTCTAAGTTACTCTCGAATTTTTATGAATATTAGTTGTACCCTTATTCGTTGTGTATATATAATAGAAAGTGTGTAGATGCTTGTTCCATCAAATGTGAAATTATTTATTCTTCGTACACTATGCTAATATTTTGATTCTTTTAAAGATGAAGAGACACAACTGTACTGCACACGTTTCCATTGGCAGAGTTAATAGTAATTTTGTTTTGTTTTGCCCAGGTGGTTGGAACTCCTAATTACATGTGTCCTGAACTTCTTGCAGATATTCCTTATGGCTTCAAATCAGACATTTGGTCCCTGGGTATCTGCTTCCTTCCTTTTCTTTTCTCTAGAGTAAATTATTGACATTCATAGCTCAATTTTGTGTTCGGCTGAACTTCTTTGTTGACCAGGATGCTGTGTTTATGAGATGGCTGCTTATCGTCCTGCATTCAAAGCTTTTGTAAGATTTCTCCTGTATTAGATCTTTTTTCAATTTCATGTCTATGATATTGACTTTAAATAAAATCACAAAAGCCTATATTGGAGTAGTGAATTAGTGATACTGTCTGGCAACATATTATCTGAATAATGTCCAGCACTGAAGTTTCCATTTCTAATCAATGAACATAGTGTGCAAAAGTCTGAATACCTGAAATTTACTTTTCGTACTTCTCTTCAAAACTAAGTTGCATAGAGAGCAGCATTTATGTGAGCACGGCGTTAATGCGAAGGCTGCTCTGACATGCTGCTAGACATGGCTGTATCTTGTTATAAGGAAATAACATAATCATAAAGAACATATGTATTATATTTCATAATCAATTGTGTTATATTCGTCTCCATTCATTTATTTGCTTTTTATTTGTATTATTTTAGAGGTAAAAATCTCACCCTACAATCATGTTCTTCACTTTCTTGTATACGAGCAGGATTCATGCAAAAACTAGAACCTTGGCATCGGTGTGGTACTAGTCAAAGGCACTCATATTCTTAAGTCAGTAAGATAGAGAAATTGTGACAAAGAGGTTAAGATTGCTTTTGAATGCTGGAGATTGCATACATGAGTCTGGTTATGCCATTGACTATTTAAAGATGACCTGCCTACATTATAGACAGGGTTAAAGTGCTTGGCACAAATCAGATAGGATAAACCTTACATGCCAAGTTCAAATGCTTGTTTGGAGATATAATCTAAATAGCAAAGTATTTTTTTAAGAAGACTCTTCTTTCCTTGTGGAAGATTTCCATATTAATCATATTGCTAACTGATGTAACTTACTAGGAATAGGTTCCTGCTGGAATAGGATATGCAAATTTCGGTGCCAATTCTGTCCATTGGTCAGACTTGATTTTGGTTCGTGCTGATTTGTTTGGCATGAGTTCCCAAATCAAGTTTCAGCTACTGCAGAAATGTGAATCCTATATTTTGTAATCAATTCCTTTTTCATCTATAAATGAAATATTTTGCATTCTCTTGATTCATTTTGTTCAAGTTCTACCCTAGCTCCCCTTGTGTTGATACCAGAGAAAAGCTCTCCAAATTTTGCAAGTCCCCTGATCTTTTATGTCCTTTGTAGTTCTACTTAATCTTTCTTGGAGATGGCTTTCCATCGAGTTGGGACTAAGAGAGACGTAACCTAAAAGGGTGTCAATCAACTTAGAACTGTGTACATCATTCTAGAGAGCCGTAACTAAAAGGGTGTCGATCAACTTAGAGCCGTGTACATGTTTCTAGACTTTGTAGATATAAGACTAGTTTATGAGGAAACTGTTTTCCTGTTGATCACAGTTCACAAGGCAGATGAAGTAGCATAACCCAAAAATCATTAGGGAAAACTATATTACCTTCCCTTTACCTCATTACTTTACCACTTCCGGTCTCATTGATGTTTTTAACCTTTTGCTAGAGATAAATGCTAATCTGTGGAACATTCTTTACTGCTATTCTCTTCGGCATGCTCAGGGGAAGAGCATTAATCTCGCTTCCCTGGATGTGTTGATGATAGAACCCCTGAAATCCAATAAAGAATGGATGAGGAGGAAATTCTGATTTCTGATGATTAGTATGGCTTAGAGTGGAGAGAGATCGTCCTCCCATCAGCAAAACTATAGGAATATCAGGTTGATTTTATGTGCAGAAAATTCTCATTTGCGGTGACTGGGAATATGCAAAAAAGTTCTTGCAGAATCATATAGTTCAGGAAAGCATATAACCTCATGCATTTAAGGCAGACAAAACATTCATTGTGGCGACCTTGTGGGCTGGTGTGTGTGAGCGTGTGCAGGTGGCACCAGTAAGCTACCACACTGGGCGAGCTATAGGTGCACATCTATGACAAGTGCAGAATCATATAGTTTAGGAAAACATATCCACATCGCCTTGGTGTAGATGGGGCAAGTGCTATATGTAGATTCAACACCCATCTATGACATAACGCATTTTAAAGCCGTGATGGCCGTGAACCTACCAGAACTCCGGAGTTAAGCGTGCTTAACCGGAGTAGTACCAGGATGGGTGACCCCCTGGGAAGTCTCTGGTCCGGAGGAGTCAAAAGCGGACAATATTGTGTCTGGCTAGAGTAAGGGTCGTTACATTCATTTCTGTGTACATGCATCTATATTGAGTAAGTTTATGATTTGCATTTGAGGACACAACTTGCTTTAGATGCTGCAACTGTTTTTAATTTTTGCTGTATAATACATGTAATGTATCTGAACTGTAGCATAGCTTATTGATGAGTTATAATCTTATTGTCTCTATAAAGCTTTCTCAAATTAAGTTTCTGAATGTTGGCTTCCATTATTTGAATTCTTTGCTGTTTTTAAGTGCATCTAATTTTTTTCTTCAATGTTTCCATTTATTTATTTATTTTGGATTATACATTTTGTCTCAGGATATGTCAGGATTGATAAGCAAGATAAACCGTTCCTCCATTGGTCCTTTGCCTTCCTGTTACTCCCCCTCCTTGTAAGTCAATAGGTTTCAGAATTGGTCTTAAGCATATTGTTCCTGTCTATTAATATTACATGACCATCTTCTTGAATGTAAGTGCTCTCACATCATAACATTTCATCTGGTTAATGCCTAATATATTGCTTTGCCTAGCATGCTCCCAGTCGCTTGCATTAGATCCTAGGTGGGTGGTGATGGGCCTGATCGCTTGGCAATTGTCTAGTTTGTGCTCATTCACTTAGACCCTAAAAGTTCTTTCATTGTGGACTTGAAACTCGGCAGTCTGTTAAACAAGTAACTAGCTTGTGTCTAAAGAAGTACAAGAAAGGGAAGAGGATACATTATATAACGGGACTTCTGAAAATAGATTGTCCTAATTGCTTCTTATTATGAAATCTTCTTTTGGTGGATGGATAAGTATCAAATACAAAGATAATAGAACTTCTAAATCAATATTTTACAGAAACTTAAATATTTTTATTTCCATTTCCTTCTATTTTTCTTTTCTGTTATAATTGTATCAGTATGCTATTGTGTGATTAGGTAATAGATTAATACTGGATCTTTTATACATTCCACCCACAGGAAAACACTTATAAAAGGCATGCTAAGAAAGAACCCTGAACATCGGCCGAGTGTAAGCCTTTTCAGAATTTCTGTTTCAGTTTAAACATAGTTATTCTTCAATCAGGACATCATCTTGATTATCTGTTATCAATTTTTGGCTAGGCTTCTGAGATTTTGAAGCATCCGTATCTGCAACCTTATGTTGACCAGTACCGCTCATCCTTTAACCCTCCTACAGCCTCTACTCCAGAGAAGCCTCTTTCTAGTGCTCTCGACACTCGGAAGAATACTGCTGAAAGCCGAAGCAGTAACAGTTCTTGCAGTGATAGAGAGAGTTCCATTTTGGGCGAGAAAAACATCCCAGCCATGGTGTACAATTGTGACAACAAAGGCACAGAAACAGATTTTGCTTCAGCTGATGATGAGGTTGGCTGTTATCACCTCCTGCCAATTGATGAACAAAGGGGTGCCAACATGTTGACTCCTGAAATTGATGAATTAGAGGTGATCAAACCCTTTCATGGTGAACATAGATCCAATTGTGAAGCTAAAGAACCAAAAACTATAAAAAACATTATGATGGCTCTGAAAGAAGGGAAAGTTAGAGAAAATAGTTCTCCATTGAGAGGCAATCGTACAAAGCCTGGGGCTTCAGGGATTCAGAGGACTAATACAGAAGTATGGCCTAAAGTACCCAAACCAAGTTCAGTTACTCCTGGTTCCAAGGCTAATGCAGATGCACCAAAAGCTTCACCAGCAAAGTCCAGCTCTGATTCTGCCAAACGGATTCAGGGAATGCCTTCTTTGAAGCATCAGGTTTTACAGTTCAATGTTTTCTGTTTTGATTAGTATCTTGCTGAATTGTCATTTATATTGCTGACTATCTTTGCAGTTACCTTTTACTGACTCCTCTCCGAAGACTAAACCTAGATATGATGGGATGCGTACTCCCAGTCCCGTGAGGCATGTTGATGAAGATGGACTTTCTACAAGAACAAGACAAAGAACCCCTCCTAATCTGGTCAGACGTTCATCAGTTCCAGGACGGATTAAGCAAATGGGGCTTGACATCCCAAATGCCAAGAGCAATACTGTGAAGATAGGACCGAGTGAGACAATTCAAGATTCTGAAAAGACACACACACTGGCCGATGGTTGTGTTACTCATGTTTCAAGGGAGATTATGCAGGAGTCTCAAAAGGACGTAGTTGGAGCTGCCAGAGGAATCCACACAGATAGCATGAAGCAATTGAGGGTTGACGCCACAAATACCAAAAGCAACACCGTGATGGTAGGACCAAAAGAGACAATTCAAGATTCTGTAAAGACTCACACGGTGGCTGATGCTTGTGTTACACATGTTCCAAGGGACATTATGCAGGAGTCTCAAAAGGCTGTAGTGGGAGCTTGCAAAGGAATGCAAACAGATAGCATGAAGCATATGGGGCTTGACACCTCAAATACCAGGAGCAATACTGTGCAGATCAGACCAAGTGAGACAATTGAAAATTCTGGAAAGACTCATGCAGTGGCCAATGGTTGTGTTACACACGTGTCAAGGGAGCCTATGCAGGAATCTGAAAGGGCTGTAGTGGGAGCTTGCAAAGGAATGCAACCAGATAGCAGAAACTCTGCGTCATCTTCAGTGTCAATTCAAGGATTTGAGCTTTCTGATTATGCAACAACTCCCTTTATTAAATTGAGAGAACATGTACTACCCTTTAATGAGGAAGTTGCTCAAACTGAAAGCTCAGAATCACATCCAACCAGCTTCTTATTTGCTTCCCCGTTGCAAACTGAGATGTCTGGAAATGTTTCAAGGGAATGCCGTGAATGGGACAAGAAATCTATACAGTGCTCGGAGAATTCTAAGGCTCACCTAGATCTTCAGAACATTTCTGCTGGTTGTGAGACTGATTGTTTGAGTGTACCTCAGGAGATCCCAATCCCACGTACTGAAGAAATATTTGTTTGTAAAGATGATACCCCTTCAAGAAGGTCCATTAGTGAGCAAAATGTAGTGCCCCAGTTGAATGTCACTTCTACATCCATTGGGGATGACAAGTTCACTGTAAGGGAACTTCTATCATCCGTAGCAGACACTATTTCCCCTAGCCTTCCGATCTCATCTAGCCAAAAGAATTTTGTGCCCGACAAAGGAACTGTTTCACATAATTCAATAATTGAAAATCCAGCTGCTTCACATCTTCCTCCAGCATTTGATGATGTCATACATGTGATTCGGCACAGTAGTTTCCGAGTTGGGAATGAGCAGCCAGTGAAAGAAACTATGGAAAGGAATATGGATGTTGGGAATCTCATAAATGTGGTTAGTAACGAGTTGGATATAAAGAACTTAACAACTCCAGCAGCTCTGAAATCATCCAGTAGCTCCGACACCGTGACTATAAAATCAAATGTTTCAGATGTTCCAGGAATTATGGAAATGGATGTAAGGAATTCCCCCTCTTCAATTCAAAAACCTGAATGCCCCGAACCAGTAAAGCCTAGCTCTCCGGTGACGGAAGAGGAAACACCAGCAAAGGAAATTTTGGATGTCAAATCTTTTAGGCAGAGGGCAGAGGCACTTGAAGGACTGTTAGAAATGTCGGCGGACTTGCTTCAGCAAAATAAATTAGAAGAGCTTGCAATTGTTTTGAAGCCTTTCGGGAAAGATAAGGTCTCTCCAAGGGAGACAGCTATTTGGTTGGCAAAGAGTCTTAAAGGAATGATGCTCGAGGACTGCGGACGGAGTTCATAAATCATCATATTCTGCTGGTATGTTTTCTCCAATTTGTTGTTTATTGATATTACCACACTAGTTTCCATCTTTTTGTCATGTTTTCCACCCATTCAAGTTCCATTTGAATTTTAAAAATGAACAATCAAGCACTTTTTTTGTTTATTTTTTATTTTACTACTTTTTTTTGTAATTCTTTCAATGCAGTATGTTGTACATATTAACTGTACCAATAAAATAAGTTATTATTGTCACTTCTTATGGGATTATTTGTAACTATTTGTTATTTATAACTCGTAATTATTTGTTACAAGTGACCATAACTTCACATATGCTCTTGTCATGTGACACTGCCAGTATCTTTGGATTTCGACATATGATGTAACATATTTACTTCTTGTCACTTCACTTAACACCGTCTAATCACACCCCAAGGGGAAAAAAGGAAAAAGGAGAGAAGTGTCGAAGTTGGATTAAATTACATATACAGTATTAAAAATCATTGCTCTGTAATCCCTTGTAATACATATACATTATTAAAAATCAATGACTCAATATATTAAATGTATGTAATTATGGGTAGTGTGGAGCCTGATAGGTACTGTACACCAAGTCCAACTACGCTGATTCAAATTTTTTGGAGAGTATTTTGGTAATTTTTGCACTTGTTATTGTAGCCCTAGTACGATGGTATTTATTCATTCTGAACTCTCTATATCTGCTGCTGTTTCTTATTATCATAGTGAAAATTCTTGCGACGTAAGCTTAATTTTGAATAAACCAAGTAAAATCAGTGTGTTCTTGTGTGTTTGTATTTGATATCTTTCTTGTATTTTTTATTTAATTTCGCAACATGTAATACATATTCCTTTTAGGAAAAACAATGTTTTGAGTTCTTTCGTTTTTTTATTTTTTTTTCTCCTGTGTTCTTTATGAATTGAATCGCATTCTTTTGTTTTTCCCCTCTCTCTCTCCATTTTTTTGGGACATTGAAGGGTACTGTCACCCATTGACCATGACCAATTACTCCCAGTACACATCAAACCTTTCAAGTCTGGTCTTGGTCGGTAATACTGTTAGGTTGGTCTAAGAAAGGAATCCGAACCGAAAACACCTCTTCATAGTTCGTGATGCCTGAACAGGAATAAGAATCATATTAGGTAGAATAAATATTCAATGCAACTCCGATGCCATGTTAGTTTTATAATCACGTTATAAATCAATCAATAAATTCTTGTGAGAAATAGGTATAATGTCCTATTTACTCACAGATATTTTCTTCAGCTAGAGGATTGAGAAGAAAGGAAGTAGGATTATTGAGTGGATGGACCAAAATATATTTGCATCACAATAATTAATTAGTTCGTAGCATCACATGCTACACTTACGCAACACTGATATTGAGAATGCAACATCTTATATCAAGTTACAATACTGTAACATTAGCTATTAAATTGAGAATGACAATACTTTTACATCTTTTGTTGTTATTGGTTTGATTTTGTTTAATGAGTGTTGCAATGTTGAATTTAAATGGACGGATGGTAATGTGAACATGATTCTTGTACAGTTTATATATTTAGGACATTTCTGCGTTCTTCCTGTGGCACACATGTTATTCAAAATTTTGACAGTGGAACGCGTGACACTTCATACATTCCTCAACCTTTCGGGGCACCGTAGAGACTCGGCTGATACTCTTTCCAGGAAAACACTGCTTAATTTGCTTCGACGCGCTCTATCAGACTAATATGATCAGTTGCTACCATACAACTGGCTACTCAATTCTCTCTCTATATAAACATATATATATATATGAATTAATCCAGTTTCGTTGAACACGGGGATGTCCTTTCCATAAAATGCTACTCTTCCTTTTGTTGGTGAGGATTCTCATTAGTAATTTAGTAGGTGAAAAGCCATATTTGACGCGCTCAATGCTTCTAATATATAAGCCAAGTCATCTTCCCTCTGTTCTCGCTCATCCAAATACCATAACCAACCTTCTCTTTCTCTCTAAACAAATTCACAAGTTACTCCATCATCTCAGGTGAAAATCAAGTAGAATATATATATATATATATATATACTAAATGGCAACACCATACCTTCCTCGAGCTTCACAACCACAACCAAGCTACCACTCGTTTTATCCCGGTGACCAAACAACCTCAAACCCTTCAGCTTATGAAATTCAACAAACCCAACAAACTAATAACTATATTACTCGTGTCCGCCGCCTGATACTGGCGCTATTTTTATTGTTTGCGATGATCATTTCCGTTAGCATGATCGCCTGGCTAATGCTTCAGCCCCGGGTCCCCATTTTCCGAGTCGACTCGCTCTCTGTGTCGAACTTCACCCTCAACGACTCACAACTCACCGCCGATTTCGGAATCAAATTCACGGTGAGAAACCCAAACAAAAGGATAGATTTGACGCTGGACGATTTCAAGATCTCCGTTTCGCACGACAGGAACAAACTAGCCGAGAAGACTTGGAATCATTATGTGAGCATGAAGAAGATGAGTCAAAACGGGATGAGTATCGAGTTAGGAACAAACTCGAGTGATAATTGTCCGATAAAGCGAAAGACGGCCATTGGCATGTCTAGGGAGTTTTGGAGCAAAAGGGCGGTGAATTTGAAAGTGAAAATGATGGTTTGGGCTAAATTCGAGGCCGGCGACTGGCTGAGCAAGCAAAAGTTCGTGGAAGTTTGCTGTAACAATTTGGAAGTCGGGTTCTTCACATCTAATGTGACAGGAACCCTCATAGATGGAAGCAATGATTGCTTTGCTCGTCTGTCGTGATCCAGTATCTCAAATTTTTTTTTTTTTTTTTTTTTTTTTTTTTTTTTTTTAAATGGTTTTCATATAGTTTGAGTTTGAGTTTGAGTTACAGGAATGTTGCTTTAATGTAGGATCATTAATCCATAAAATATCATAGGATTCTGGTAAACTCCAACTGAATACCGGAAAAGATTTGTTAAGTCGAGTTGGATTTTTAATTATTTAATTAATTATTATTTGAAGGGAATGTCATTTGTAGGCCCAATGAATGTGTTTTTTTTTTTTTTTGGGTAAATAATGGTTCTTTATAATTGCTTATAAAGTTCCCCGCAATTTTGAACATTTTAATTCAAATATAGTGGAAGACTTAAATGTCCTTGGGATTTGTGAGTTGCTATCATGACTTGAGTTATAGTTTAATTTAGTTTAACTAATATATTAAGATTAATTAAATTCCAATGATTGAGTATTCTTTTAAATAAATTTAATTATATCACAATTTCAGTTAGATAATGTTGATTTGTTTATTCAAATGGGCTGTCAACCAAAATAGGAGTAAAACTAGTTATTAGACTAGATTATTATGTTCATCCAAATTTCCCTTTATTTATTTTTATATGGTGTGGGCTGAACTTGGTCCCATTTGTTGATGGAAATTAATATTATACCCCGGGTTACAATGACATATGCTTCTTCCCATTATCTAAATTAGATATTCTATCACACTCCTTTTAACATCACTTTGCCCATCTACACACACACACACACACACACACACAATGTACATTGTTATGTCCATGGTTGGCCTTGGCAGAAGATGAATTTCAGATTCCGTTAGATTTTCCACATGGGGCTTTCTTAATTAAGGACTACCTGATGCACAAAAAGTAATATTTTTATACACAAAAAGTGATATCTATGTGTCTAAAAGTGATACGTAAGGGTAAATAGTATTTTTTCTATGTTCACGTCAGCATTTTGGTCAATTTTATTTTTTATAAAAGTTTGACTCCATTAAATAGTAAATATATATTATTAATACCATTTATATGTAATAAGCCCTATGTGTGTATATATATATATTGTATATTGTTATGATACATGGTACTTTTATATTTTTTCCTTACATTAATAGCATGGATATACATGTTCAAGTACACGCGTGATATAAATATGTATGTCCATGGTTGGGCTTCGCAGAAGATGAATTTCATTTTCTGTTAGATTTTTCACACGGGGCTTTCTAAATTAAGACGATGAAGAAGAGTACTTTTGACTTTTGATTGTATTTGTTGATAATGTTAATCATATTGGATTCACATATGAGCCACAGTTAATGATTGAACATGTGTTTTGTGATACAACTAAGCAGGTCGGTTTGATATTTGATATTTCCCAAATGTTGAAATGGTGTTGGCTAATTTTCAAATCCAATACCCTTTATACATAATATTTCATATGTACAACCAAAAAAAAAAAAAATTGATCAACCATGAATGCGAACTAATTAATTCTAAATAATTCTATTGTGTCATCTCTTCATTGTCACTCTAGTCAAATTATTTCTTTCTCCTAATGATATATCTTACACGAAATATAAGTTCAATTTTTATTTTAGTTGCAATCTCTTTAACCTCGATCATAGCATTTTCAAATTTATTTTCTCTATAAATTTCAAAAAAGAAACTGACTCTTCTTAAGAGATTTATAACAACATCAAACAAAAACTCAAAATTACAAACGAATTGAGGAAGCAAATAATTGAATAATGCGTTCAACATCAAACGAAATATATATCACACACAAGCCTGAAGTCTCCTTACTCGGTAATGATTTTGTTTAATCAGTAAAATTACATTAGATGAGATAAAATAAATTAGTGTCACACTTACAAAATTGGTAATGTTGCCGTTTGTTGAGCTTATTTTTATTTAAAAAACAATATTTGCATAACACTTTTTTCCTAGTAAAAATTTACATGACTTTTTAAATAACTAACCAGCTAAACTTGTTAATGAAGTATAAAACAATGAGAAGTACTAAAGACAATAGCTACTATCCATTCACAATCGCTCTTTTCATTAATTGAAAAATTAATCATAAAATATCATTAATTATATCTTTTTTATTTATTTGGACATTAAAATTTGTAATTTTTAAAAGACAAAACTGCTCTTTCAATATTGGTCTTTTTTCCATATGTGTGTGTATATATATAATTTATAAAGTTAACATTTTCAATAAATTCAATGCGTTTGTGTATATAAATATATAAACAACTAAATTTCAGCATGGATTCTTTCCTTTCCTTTTTTTTTTTTTTCTTAGCTTAAATTTTCAGATTTGTAATTTACTTTAAAAAACCTTTCATAATAATTCATTAAAAAAAAATTAAGTATTACCTTTTTTTATTTCATCTCAGGAAAGTGTATTTCGATATTCGACATTGCTAGCAGACCACCTATTGGGCCTAGGTCATATCATCATTGGGCATTGTAAGACGGCCCGTGAAGAATTAGGTTCACGCCCATGACTTGTATCAAAGTCTTAAAATTGACGTAGACTTCCCTGATTGGACAATGTCGATTATATATATATATATTTTGGCCCATGTTATAAATTTGAATCCTTCTAAATTGAAGGCCTTAGGCGGCCGATTAGTCCTAAGGCAAAATAATAATAATAATAATAATAATAATAATAATAATAGTAAAATAACAAAAATTAATTACTTATTTATAAGATATGTGAATTATTTTTAGCCACTGCGAATTAACGATAATAATAATAATAAAAACAATAATAATAATAATACCAGAAGTGGTAGTAGTAATAATAATAAATTTTTTAAATAATAGTAAAAATAAATTGCTTGATTAGTTACTTGATGGATCCATATATGTATAAATAATTTTTGCAATCTCATAAATTATCAAAAAATAAATAATTTTTTTTAAAAAAATGATGTGGTAGCTGAGTTGACTGTGTAATAGTAATATATGTATTTTGTGGGAGTAAATAATAGTAATATCGGTAACTAAACTAACAGTGCTGTGACGACCCTAGATTTTTCAACCCAGTGTGTCTTGTGATGAACCAAAAGAATGACCCGATAACGGATCTGAAATGCGAAAACGAAGAAAACTAAGTGGCCACTAGAGATGTACGTCATCCCTAAGGCATCAAAATGACTCCCCATGGCATGATCAAATTGCATTATATGCTATTGTGTGATGATGTGAACATACACGCAAGTGTAAAATGGTATTTTAAACATGCTACAATGGCCCATGGCCTTATTTTAACTCATTTACAACATTTGACATGTCAGACCTCCAAGTTAGAAAAATTACATTTCATAGATAAATCATGAACATGCTAACACTTGCATGTGAACAAGAATGCTTCTAAAGAAGCTCAACTCAGCAAATCACCCAAGCAATTGCAATCTCCAATCTTGTATCCTGTACCTGAAATATGCCCCAGTATCGTAGAGGTGAGTAACATAAAGTTACTCGTAAGAAATGAACATGCATCGACCTACGTTTTACAAGTGTACATGATTTAATCATTGTGGTTCATTCCACCTAACGTCTATGTCAAAAGTGAGACTCAGGGAGCATCCTAGTTACCTAAGATCATTTCTAGCATAAAACACATCATTTATGCAATTTTAACAACACAATAGCATGCTACACATAGCAACAAGATGTAACATGCTTACACAAAGTAACTAGTTAGAAACATGCTTACACAAAGCAACCAGATAGAAATATGTTTACACAAAGCAACTAGATATAGATTTTCAAAGTTATCAACTTGAAATCTAAATGCTAAATCAACTAAATATAGCAATTTAGTATGGATGTACTTAACAACATCAAATCGCCAATAGCCAAAACCACAGTCACAATATAAACATGATTGTTTCTTCATTGGAAGACAAAATCCGTAAGTGTCCGAGTATAGAAGCACTGTTCCATTGTTGAATGTCATGCAGGCCTAGTCCACCTGCAATTTTTGGCTTGCATACTTGATCCCAGCAAACTTTGGCTCTGTACCTGTTCATGTTAGGTCCAACCCAAAGAAATCTTTGAAGAGCTTGATTGACTTGCTCGCGTGTCTTTGCTGGAATGATGATGAGATTTGTCCAATAGATATGCATACTAAACAAGGTAGCTTGGATGAATTGAAGTCTTCCAGCAAATGACAGAGCTCTAGCTGTCTAGCTAGAGATTCTTGACGGGATTCTATTAATGAGGGTTTGGCAGTCCATTGGTGTGAGTCTTGACAGGATTCTATCAATGAGAGATGTGGTTAGGCACACCACTGAAGAACAGTTGACTTTTGTTTGCATTTGGTGTTAGCCCTGAGTGGTTTGCAAAGGTACGTATCAATGGCTAGCTTGAGAGTTTGAGCAGAAATAAGGTCACCACGGCAGAACATAAGTATATCTTCAGCAAAAGAAAGTTGGGGATAGGTGTAGGGCTTTGCATCTCCAGTGATGATGAAAATTAGTGTGATTTGATGTCAAAATGTTTGTGATATGTGATAGAACATCCATATAGGTAAGGGGATAGGGGATCCCCTTGCCTAAGACCTTTGATGCTAGGAAAAAAACCACAGAATACCCATATTCGTTTTATTGTTGCATGTACAAATTGTGAACTTTGTTGATTCATGTTTATTATAAAAGTCATGTTTGTATTTAATTATACTATGTAGATTCATGTTTATTATAAAAGTCATGTTTGTATTTAATTACTATGTAGATTTATATGCACCTAATGTCTTTTATTAAATGAGGAATTCTCTTTGAATTGTGTTCAAAAAATACATCTATTCCAATTGAGAATTCTTGTATTTATTTTATTATGTATGAATGAATATTCTACAAATTCTCAACACTATCTAATTAGGAGTGTCTTGTTTTCATTTTTTTAGATTTATGTGACTTAAACCTTAAAATAAAAGAAAAATTAAATTTTAAATGAAGATTTATTCCATGCATCCCTATCGATCTCTTTTTCCATCTAAAATTCTCTTTCCTCTCTGTCTAATCAAAACCCAACCCTAATTTCTTTGAATTAGTCATTAAGAAGAATTAATTCAATCTAAAATTGGATAAGGGAAAATTACGCTTATAAGGGCCTGTATCATGCTGGTTTAATTTTGGACAACTTAATTTCACAGGTGGAAAGAATAACTTGGTTCTGATACCTACCCAAGCGAATAAGATAAATAATAAATAAATGAAAACAAATCATCTGTAGAATAAAAAAAGAATTCCAATGAATAAAATGGAAACGTGGACGCTTATTTCTCTCCCTCTCTTCAAACAAGAAAAGTAATCTTTTAACTCTTCTAATAGATCCATTACTTGGCGTAGTTTTTA